CAAGGACGGAGACCCACAGGGAGCATGCCACTGCATGCAGCTTCATCCTGCATGTTCACACAAGGACTGAGACCCACAGGGAGCATGCCATCCATGCAGCTTCATCCTGTATGTTCACACAGGGCGGAGACCCACAGGGAGCATGCCATCCATGCAGCTTCATCCTGCATGTTCACACAGGGTGGAGACCCACAGGGAGCATGCCATCCATGCAGCTTCATCCTGCATGTTCACACAGGGCGGAGACCCACAGGGAGCATGCCACTGCATGCAGCTTCATCCTGCATGTTCACACAAGGACGGAGACCCACAGGGAGCATGCCATCCATGCAGCTTCATCCTGCATGTTCACACAGGGCGGAGACCCACAGGGAGCATGCCATCCATGCAGCTTCATCCTGCATGTTCACACAGGGCGGAGACCCACAGGGAGCATGCCATCCATGCAGCTTCACCCTGCATGTTCACGCAAGGACAGAGACCCACAGAGAGCATGCCATCCATGCAGCTTCATCCTGCATGTTCACACAGGGCGGAGACCCACAGGGAGCATGCCATCCATGCAGCTTCATCCTGCATGTTCACACAGGGCGGAGACCCACAGGGAGCATGCCATCCATGCAGTTTCACCCTGCATGTTCACACAGGGCGGAGACCCACAGGGAGCATGCCATCCATGCAGCTTCACCGTTGCAGGTGGTTCTGTTTCTTCTGGCTCCATCCTTTCCTCCTCTGTGCGGATGCTTAGCTCCTCCCTTCTCGGACTCCCTGAGTGGTACCCACCCTCGGATCCCACCAGCCTGTCGTCTTTCCCTTGACTTCTTTGCTGTCTGCATCCTGAAAGCTGCGATGCCTCCGTTCTTCATCTCCCATATTTGGAACTGTCTTTTAAATGAGTTTTTATCCCATCATTCCACAGCCAGGACCAGCATCCTTCACACCTTTGTGTGCCATGTCCCCAAATCCGATGACCTTGTTTTGCCTACTTTCTGACCTTCCTGTCTCTTCCCATTCTCCGTCTGACCCTGAAATGTTCCAGGACCCCAGCCGGGACTTCCCCCACGCTCTGGGGTCCTCTCTGCCGTTGTTCTCTTGGTTTCAGGTGTCTGCTGTCAGGTCCTGAGTCACAAGCCAGGCTCCCTGTTACGTACATCTCCACCGGGGTCTTCTTGACTACGGGCATCTCATGCTAGTCTCTCAGTTTAGATCTGCCTCCCTCTCCCCTCCCTCTTCTCTGGGTGTGGTCCTCCTGTGCTGTCAGATGCCCATGCCAGCAGCCACACCCCTGCACAGGCCAGCACGGGGCCCCCAGTCCGCAGATCTTCCGCCTTTCCGCCTCACGAGCGCCCTCGCTGTGCCGCAGACTTCATCCCGTCTCTCCTGTGGTCTGCTGCCGCGGTCACCTGCCTCGCCAGCTCTGGGTGGTCTCTGCACTAAGGCGTTTCTGATCATGCTGTCTCCAGTGGTCTCCTGCTGTGTTCAGTGTGGGGGTGGGGAGCCCCCGTGGCTCAGTTGCTAGCTGATATTTGGTGTGATGACCATCACAGACAGAGCAAACTCCGCAGCAGGCATTTAGTTTCTCCTTGACCCACAGACCTAAGGGGAAGTGAGGTCAGAGAGGACAGGGGACACTGTCACACCTGTTCCTCCGATGGTGACGCGTCTCCAGTCCTTGCCTCTACCTTCATCAGACTCCCGCCTACGGTCTGTACCTGCCGTTATTCTTTGGTTTAGGTCCTACTGTATGAGTCCTCTTAGAGCTAACTATATCTCTATCACCACGGGCCCTATTTCTGAGCAGTTTCGCACGCAAGGGTCTTGATTCTATTTTCTTTTAGTTTATTTGTATTATGTGGTTTTATTAATTTATTTGCCTTCATGTATGTTTATGTACCGTACAAACCAAGCCTACTCCCAGAAAAGTGTCAGATGCCCTGGTACTGGAGTTATAGACAGTCAGTCATGAACCCATGTGGGTGCTGAGAATCGAACCTGGGTCCTTCTAACCACTGAGCCATCTTTCCAGCCACGGTTCTTGCACTTTATTCAATCTGTCAACCATCCAGCCTTAACTCTCCCTCCTTGCTGCTGGGTCCTCGCTCACGGGCTCATGATTTTTGTCATTATGCTATCTATGTTGTGTTATTTATGATGCTACCATGTTAAATAACGTGTTGGTGGGTGAGAGAACTCACCAGACAGATGGAAAGCTTCCAGACAGAAGAAAGTGATGCTCCAAGGGCCACTGAGGAGGAGAAATGCGATCTTAGTTTAGCAGTCATAATTCTATTTTAGTTTGTTCTTTCTTTTTTTTTCTGAGTTGCTTCACAGCATAGTAAGCAGAAGGCTCTGCCTCTCTCGTGAAGGTTCTGACCACTCTCTTTAGGGACTTCCTGTTTTCTCTGTGCTTACACTCTGTGGCTTCCCTCTGGTTTGATTTCTAATTGTGGGGCTATGTGACCTTTGGGGAGATGTTGGGACTTGAACCTGGGAGGTGAGGGGTGTGCACCCTGTCACTTCCTAGCTCAGAGCAGATGCTACGAGTGTTTCTGAGCCCACGGCCCATCCCCATTAATCCTGTAAGACAGGGGGTTGTTCAGCTGCTTGTATGGATCTTTGCCTTACATGAAGAGACCATAGCAGGCGGTTGTTCTGGAGGTCACGTGACCCCAGCCCCTTCCGTGAACAACACACATAATCAGGCTGAGAGTTGCAGGTGCAGTGGCCGCGTGGTTCCCAGTGAGTGTCTCACTGTCTTGGGAAGAACGAAGTACCAACCACCCGGGACCAAGGGGAACAGTCAGAGCTCCGAGTGATGCCCACCTCAGACCTCGTCAGGGCAGGCAGCGCCGGCAACAGCTTCCCCTCATGCAGACACCTTGGCAGCTCCCCGTGTTCCAACTCTGGCGAAAGGGTTATAAAGGCTGGACCTTAACACGTTTTAGATTCATGTTTCAGCTGAAGCGATTTGACTGCCACGTTGAAGATGTGCGGAATGGTCCCTTTGTTTTTGATGGGCACGGGAACCAACAATTAAGGCATTTCTACACATCCCTTCAGAGGCAACCAGGCTACAGGGATATTTGGGGACTGGCAAAGGCTCTCCCTAAACACTCATTTTTCTAATTACAGCCAACAGGGCTCTGCTGCCTGTTGGGCTACCCTGCCACACTCCAGATTGTACGCTCGTTACTTTAGGGGAACAGTCCAAGGTAAATGCTGTTATTCAAATAACCCCCAAACGAGCATGGCCCATAAAAATATTTCACCCAGAGCCTATGGCTCCCGGAGGAAGTGCTTGGCTCTCCCAGTGTTGGAAACGGCTTGGCTGCCAGGTTCATGCTCATAGTAGTCAGTGTCCAGAGTGGACAAGGGTGGAATGGTACCACTAACTGTCGTCTGAATCAGCAATGCCCAACCCACAGTGTGACCTTGTGTGTCAGCTCCTTGCGCATCAGGCTGGCACTGAAGGACCCCGTCCTGTGCGATCCCCAAAGTCCAGCCTCACAGAGGGTGCTACAGAATTTGGATCCGTTTGGGTTTCCTTTTCTGTTTCGTTTACATCAGGGATTCCAGGATGTTTGTGAACGGATGATTGCCCTATTTCGTAACTTCTACTAGACAGAGTTACCATTGCAAATTACATGTAGGACACAACCAGCAAGGGCACGTTCTGTCTGGATTCATGTGTCTCCCTTGTCTCTGTTTCAGAACTGTAGTAGCTGGTAGAGTCCACTGGGCCGTTTCAGGGTTGATAATAGAGACCGACTCGGAAATGGACTTTTCCATGTTTCCATAGCTGTATCAGCATACACATTTCCTTTGTGAACCCAGTGCGTTGCTTCGTGCATTTAGAAACAAACAAGCAAAGCCAAGGCATTTTGACCCAACCAAGGGAACTAGGAAGTCCCAGCGGCGGCGGCGGGGGCAATGTGTACCTGGGGCCAGGTCTTCGAGAGGGAGACGGGACAGCCATGGAAAAGCCAGTGAGGTCCGAACCAGAGCCTGGAGGTTTTACTTCATAGTAACATACCACTTGACATGTGTGCTGTGTGGGACAAGCTAGCGGGGTTCTAGGAATAGCCATGGTGCCTTGGCAGCATCACTCTCCTACGGCAGGCACAGTCCAGGGTTAGCACGGGCTCTGCATGCGCTCAGATACGTGTAAGGAGAGGATGTGTGTCCAGTTAGGATGGTCCTGGAGTCACTACCGTGAACGTGGAGCTGGAACAATGTGATACAGTGCTGTGTAGAGCATGTGGAGTTGTAGCTTGGGGGTCATAGTCTAACTGGGTCACTTGCCAGCTCTATGACCTGGGGCCAGAAGCCACTCCAAGCTTCCTCTCCCCTGTTCAGGTAGGAGCTGCCCTCACAGGCGGAGTGATCCAGTTTCACGGGCATGACACTTTCTCACGTGAGTGCTCCCGAGAGGGAAACTGAGGGCCATGGTTCTGTCACCGTATGGTCTGGCCCAGGTGTACAGGACTCTCCCACGCCCTGTGGGTTTTAGATGCTTACTCCAGCCGCTTTACAGGATAATTACCCAGCACTGTGCCAGTTTCTCATAACGCTTCTTTGGCATTTTCCCAGATTCCAAAGAAGAAAAAAGCAAAACAAAAACTTAGAGCTTTAAACCAGAACAAATAAAAGGAAAAGCAGCAGCAACAAAACCCAGCAAAGTCGCTGTGACATTTACCTGTCTCTTAATTGTGGTTCTGGTGAGGAATCGTACTGCGGAACGGGGGGGGGGGGGTGCATTTTCTTCTGCTGCTCCTCCTTTTCTTCTTCTCAGACGGAAATACTGTTTGTAGTCTCCAGTTTCTTCACATTCATATCTGTGGGATGAAAAAGGGTCAGCTCTGGGTCAGATATGGAAACAAGCAGTGATCAACAGGCAGCGAGCTGGCCTTGAGTGACGTGGGAATGCTCGTGTGTCCCCGAAACGAGGTGTGTTCTCGCCGCTGTGCGGTGTGCTGACCACGCCTGGCTCTTGCTTTCAGTTCTTCCCCTACATCCTGCTGCTGGTGGCCATACTCCTGTACCTGCCCACGCTGTTCTGGCGCTTCACGGCAGCGCCCCATCTCTGCTCAGACCTGAAGTTCATCATGGAAGAACTTGACAAAGTCTACAACCGAGCAATCAAGGCTGCCAAGAGCGCTCGAGACTTGGACCTGAGAGATGGACCTGGACCGCCAGGAGTGAATGAGAACGTGGGGCAAAGGTAACAGCTCCAGGCGGCTGCCCATAGCCACCTAGGATAAGTTCCCTGCCCTTTATCCTGCCAGACTGGCCCAGAGTGCTGATTGCCGAGAGTGGGAAGGGGGTAGGTAGGGTGTCTACCATCAATGGACAACTATGCACATGCACGCGCACACACACAGACACACACACATGCACACACACAAACACATGCACACGTACACACAAACACACATGTGTGCACATGCACACACACGCAATGCACACGTACACACAAACGCGCGCACACACATGCACACACACAAACACATGCACACGTACACACACAAACGCACACACACATATACAAACACATGCACACACACAAACACATGTACACATACACACAAACACGCACACACATATGCACACACAAACACATGCACACATACACACAAACACACACGTGTGCACATGCACACACATGCAATGCACACTTACACACGCTCACACACAAATGCACACACAAGCACACACATACAGACACAAGCACACACATAAACACATGTACACATACACACAAACATGCACACACGTGTGCACATGCACACACATGCACACACAAACACGCACACACAAAATGCACACACACAAACACACACACACACAAATACACACAAATGCACACACAAATACACAAATGCACGCACACACACACAAATACACACACACGCACACACAAATACACACACAAACACATGCACACACATACAAACACATGCGCGCGCACACACAAACACGTGCGCACACATACAAACACGCGCACACACATACAAACGTGCACACACAAACGCGCACACACACAAACACGCATGCACACACACGCACACACACACTCTCACTGTCCCACCGTCCTCAGGTCAGGGCTCCCTTCCTCCCTGTCCAGTCTCGCCTTTGAAAAGGAGCTCTCACGGGGATGACAGATCAAAGAATGACCTGAAGCTTTCTTGCTTTGATGTCCTGTAGCGGAGAGCCGCAGAGGACTCTGAGGCAGCCAAGCATATAAGGAAGGGACAGGAGAGGACGCAGCAGGTGGAGCCCTGCCTTCTCACATTCTTCTGCTTCTGTCATGGCTAGAAATGGCTGTGATAGCGGTAGCTGTCTTATTTCTAAAACTACCCGCTGTGTTCCTGTCATGGGGTTTCTATTGCTGTGGTAAAACACCACCACAGAAGGACTTAGTTTGTTAACAGCTCAGCATTACAGTCCATTGTCGAAAGAAATCAGGGCAGGAATTCAAGCAGGGTGGGAGCGGGAACTCAGACACAGGCCATGGGGGGGGGGAGTGCTGCTAGCTGGCTAGCTCTCATCCTGCTTCCTTACAGCGCCCCGCCCGGGACTGCCAGTCCAGGGTAGCCCTGCCCACAGTGACCTGGGCCCTCTCACATCAGCCAACACCAGGAACAGGACCTTTCCTCAACTGAGGTTCCCTCTTATAAAATTACTCTAACTTCTGTCAGGTTGACATAAAACTCCCACCACAATTCCAGACTCGAGTGCAGTATCATTAATTAATGCATTTGTTTGCCTCTTTCTACCCTTTTATAGATAGACACTGTCGTGAGTGCTCTTGTGGGCCTGAACAATGCCATCTGAGTCCATCCAGTTTCCCAACCCTCCCTGGCAGAAGGACATGTGTTCTAGTTGGTCTTAAAATTTCTTCACTTTATTCTGCACGATTAGCAGGAGATTTTGGTTTAAAAACAATACGAATGTATTTAACAGACACTGAGCCCTGGGTACCAGGCATTGCCCTAAAAATTATTGAGTATTAACTCACATTTAATCAACCAGCTTGTCTTTAAAATACTAAAAGGGGGCCTGCAGAGACGGCTCAATGGTTAAGGCACTTGCTACTCCTCCAGACAGCCTGGTCCCTAGCAACCACATGTTGACTTACACTTGTCTATAATTCCAGTTCCAGGCATAACACTCTGTTCTAGCTCCTGAGGGCACACTGCACACATGCAGGCAAAGTGCTCATATAAAATGTTTGAATGTTTAAAATATGAAAAGGGAAAGCATGGCTTTATCCCCTGGTGTTGAGTGAAGCTACAGTTACTGTGTATGAAGTTAGGGTTAGGGTTGGGTAAGGGTGACAGTGTTGAACGTGGCCATGCCTTTGACATTTGATGAGACTGACATAGGTCTTGGTTATCTTTGTTTCCTTTGTTTTCCAGTCTGTGGGAGATATCGGAAAGCCACTTCAAGTACCCAATCGTGGAGCAGTACTTGAAGACAAAGAAGAACTCTAGTCATTTAATCATGAAATACATTAGCTGCCGGCTGGTGACGTTCACAGTCATACTGCTGGCGTGTGTCTACTTGGGCTATTACTTCAGCCTGTCCTCACTCTCAGACGAGTTTCTATGCAGCATCAAATCGGGCGTCCTGAGAAATGACAGTGCCATCCCTGACCGATTCCAGTGCAAGCTCATCGCTGTGGGCATCTTCCAGCTGCTCAGCTTCATTAACCTCATAGTGTATGCTCTGCTGGCCCCTGTGGTCATGTACACGCTGTTCGTCCCGTTCCGGCAGAAGACGGACGTTCTCAAAGTGTATGAGATCCTGCCCACCTTCGATGTTCTACATTTCAAGTCTGAAGGCTACAACGACTTGAGCCTCTACAACCTCTTCCTGGAGGAAAACATAAGCGAGCTCAAGTCATACAAGTGTCTTAAAGTGCTGGAGAATATCCAAAGCAACGGGCAGGGCATCGACCCCATGCTGCTCCTAACCAACCTGGGCATGATCAAGATGGACGCCATGGACGGAAAGACTCGCGTGTCCTCACAGATCAGGGGAGAGGACCAGGGGAGCCGGATGGCGGAGTTCAAAGGTACAGTAGGCTGTCTGGACAAGCACAGCTTTGCAGCAATCTGGGCTGTCTTTACCTTGCTGGTCACTTAAAGCCAGTGTCGTCCTGGGGGAAAGTGTGGAGACAAATTACTGTCACCCTAAGATTACCAACGAGGATGGATCTGTGCTTTTCCCTCTCGGGCCTCTGCTTGTTCTGTTTGCGTCCTGTTCACTGTCTCATGCCCTGCCTGTTTCTAGCTCCCTTGGCTTCTTTGTCTTGTGTTCCCGTCTGTACTTCCCATCTCTTTGTCCTCTGCCTTTCCTTCTTTTTAGTATCGGTTATTCATTCTTTGGTATTTCAAACGTTTGCAGTGTATCTTGATATCTTGTCAGCTTCCCCCAAGCCTGTCCCTTCCCACCTTCCTAACCTTTCATTTCTGTCGATTGATTGATTGATTGATGACTCACTGCGGCACACAGAGGACATTGACTGATCGTGTTGGGTGTGTCTTGTGCCGCTGACCATAGCTGCGGTGAGAAACTAGTGCTTTGGAGCACATTTACTGTGAATTCCTTCCCCTGCAGCAGACCTCATATAACCAAAAGAGTGGCTGGTTACTCCCAAAGCCACCGTTTGCCTTCTTGCCTTGACCCGACCTCAGACTGCGGACTAAGAAACAGACATGTGCGTGTGTGCATGTGTGTGTGAGTGTGTGTGTGAGTGTGTGTGTGTATGTGTGAGTGTGTGTATGTGTGTGTGAGTGTGTGGTGTGTGAGTGTGTGTGGTGTGTGAGTTTGTGAGTGTGTGTTGTGTGTGAGTGTGTGCTGTGTGTGAGTGTGTGTTGTGGGTGAGTGTGTGTGGTGTGGGTGAGTGTGAGTGTATGTGTGTGAATGTGTGTGTGTATGTGTGTGAGTGTGTGTGTGTGTATGTGTGTGAGTGTGTGGTATGTGTGTGTGAGTGTGTGTGGTGTGTGTGAGTGTGGTGTGTGTGAGTGTGGTGTGTGTGAGTGTGTGTATGTGTGTGAGTGTGTGTGTATGTGTGTGAGTGTGTGGTATGTGTGTGAGTGTGTGTGTGGTGTGTGTGAGAGTGTATGTGTGGTGTGTGTGAGTGTGTGTGTGTGTGAAGTCCTTCTCACAGTTGGGTGGTGTCAGGGCTCCCTGCTAGTCCTCCTTTCTAAATAGTGGTTTTAATTTTGGCAGATTTGGACCTGAGCAGTGACGCTACAGCAAACATCCCAGAGAAGAACTCTCGACAGAGGCTTCTGAATTCATCGTGCTAACAGTTTCGTTGTTGATTTTCAAGCGTGTGGCTTCTGTGTCTGAAGCACCCCTGTTGGGGCTGCGGCTAGTTTGCAGTAAATGTTTTTGGTAGTGATGTGGTGTGTGTTTTACCAGTCCCTAATAGATGTAATGTCGAGGAAGACTGGATTAGGAATGTCCCACAAGACAAAACATGGAAATGAGTAAGTGCGCTCCACGTGAAGGACTATTAAGAGCACAGAGCCTTCTAGAGCCTCTGAGAAACACCATTCTGGACTGACAGTATTGTGAGACCTGAAGTTTCTGGAGAGCAAGCCCTTTGGGGGAATGTTCTGTTTTATGAGATAATAATAAACAAGTTGGAATTTAATTTAATAATGCCCTCCGTGTACTCTTACTGGCCCTTGAACAACAGACGCACTCACTGGCCTACCAGCAGTGTTGGCCTGTGCGGGTCAGCGTCCTAACTTGGGTGTGGCCTGCTGGCTCTTGTACTTGCAAACTCTGCTATCAGCTGTTGCCCACTAACCGCTGCTCGGTGCCCTTTGCCCTCTGCAAGGACAGCAGGCTCAGTGCCCAGTGAGCTCAGCTAAGGAGGCAGAGTTGCATTGCGTCAGCCGAGTGCCATGGCGACTCGGAAGGAAGGCTTCAGAAACAGCCCAGTGGGAACTCTGAATGTAGAGGTTATTGGTCCTCAGACCTCTGAGACAGGAGAACCGCATTTGACTGGAGCACGCCGACAGAACACAGGGAGGTACACTCTGCCCAGTGTGAGCCGAACACGGAGCTAACACCAGAGTGGCCTTTGCCATGCGTGTCAAGACAGATTGTTTGTATTTAAGCACAACTTTTTAAATTGCAGAGTGATTTGTATAATTGAGGTCATTTGAGAAGAAGATTCCTAGCATTAATCAGAATAAATTATACACATGGGTAGTCAAGACGGATGTAAGCATTGCTTTATTAACGGTTTTTAGTTTTTGTGACGTGATCTCGCTTTGTAGCTAGCTCAGCCTGCCGTTGGAATTTTGTCGGTTTTCATCGATTGGCCTCCCAACTGCCAGGATCACAGGTGTGAGTCACAGGCCTGGCTTTATAAACACTCGTGCTGACTTAGCATTTGTTAACACCCTTCAATTCTGACCGTGTGAAATGCTGTACGTTTACACTTTATATAAAAACTCTTTAATCCACAGAGCTTCCCATTTTTAACACATTGTTTAAGTGAAAGTCCCTAGGAAATGCCCAGTTTGCTTTCAGCTAATCTTAGGGATGGTTGTTTACCTAACCTAATTGCTTTTGGTGAATCCAGAAGTTAGGTAAGTGGCTATCTGTCCTGGCAGTTTCTGAGTTGGAAAACTCCTATAAATATCGAGCACAGTGGGTGTTTTGAATGGCACTAATCCATGACCTTTCTGTTGAGGGTTGAGTTATGCTACTACTGAGACCAGGTCACTAAGGAACTGGTTTTGTACACTTTTATAGTGCTGTGTCGGAGACATTTCATTACAGTTCTCTACAGTATGTATGTGTGGGTTTTATTTTTTTTTTTTTTTCTTTTTTATTTTGAAGTGACCTTTAAAATATTTTTTCTAGGATATGGATTTTTTTTTTTTTTTTAGCATTTTTTCTTATAGCATAACTTGTACTTTGAGGCAGTAAAAATTGATATTTTAGGAGACCAGAAACTCTCCGAGCCTGGCCATATGCAGACGTTTGGTCAGAATGTGTGTTTGGGGGCCTCAGCTTCTGTTTGAGTTCATGCTCCCATGCTTACCCTGAGCCGCAGTGGGACCCACGACATCCCAGGCATCACGCTTGGTGCTGGCTGGGACATAAATGGACAGGCAGGTCCTATATTGAGGACATCAGAGCCCGGCAACAAAGACGTGGGTGGAATACCCACAGTGAAGACTCTTCCGGAAAGTAGGAAAGCCTCTGTGGTTTGGGAGGAGCCCATTCCCTGCCCTGATTCATAGCTGGTGGTTTATGGTGTCTGGTAGCTTCCTGGGGGCAGATGACCATCTTCAGCCATAAATCCTCCCTAGGCTGGGGTGTAGACGGAGCAGCCCACATGGATTTGAACTGCAGCTGGCTTCGCTGCTTCCAGGACGTGGGGAAAAAGGCCTATGAGGGATGTGGTACTGCCCCTGGCTTCATAGCTCCAGAGGGCCGCACTGATGCCCAAGGGTGCACTTTGGCCGGAGTTAGCCCCTCCCATCTGCTGGCTCTCTGGCTTTGAGACTTCTCTAGAGATGGGGGAAATGCTTCTGTAAGGACTTGTTCTTTTATTACAGACATAACAGGTCCTTAATGACCACTGTGGGGCCACTGACCTCATTTCCAGTCTTCGTGGACTACTGGTGTTTCCAAACCAGACTCACACAGATCATTCTGGAAGCACATAGAGCTCCCCGGTGTAGAGGCCTCCAGCTCTGGGTGGGTGGGGGCTGTTTAACGTTACAACAGACCCAAGACTTGTAGCTTGTGCTTGATGAGGAGCAGGGCCCCGCTGAGTGGAGCTGCCTTCAGCCGATACAGCTATATGTTCAGTTAACTGAGTTGTGTTTGCATACTTCTGAGAGAATGAAATTATTCGCCATCATTTTCCAGAGTCAGACTCAGGTCAGATCACAGTGGCATGGGCAGCCAGCACTGATCATAATTTCTTTGGAGTCAAAGCACCTTCCAGTTTTTCCTGTTGTGACTGTGGAATACAGGGAGTACATACAGGCATGGTGACTTAGAATGCCACCCTCCTTCGCAGTTAGGGGCTGGGAACCTCCACTTGTTCGGTGGATCTGTTTTAACATGTGTAAACTCCTGTTAGGACATACTTATTCCCACCCAACACCTAGCCTCTACGGCTTAGTTCCTGTGAAAGACAGGTGGCCAAACCTTTCGAGATACACGTGCTGCTTGGTTTAGTCTACATGTGTCAGATCGGCAGAGCAGCAGAGGGGTCTTCAGAGGGTTTGATTCAAGGCTGTATCACCAACTCTTAAACCAGTGACCAAGACACACTGGGCACTCTGTTGAGTGAGCAGGCAAGGGGAACGGTAGGGATCCTAGTTTGTTGGCATCTAGGATCTGACTTAAGACACAGGCAGTCCTCTGCAGGGGAGTGGGCGGGCTCACATCAGCGGCTGGTAGGAGTGTGGCAGGCTTTCCTTAAACACTGGCGCTTTTTAGCTTTTGATGCTAATGAGTCGTGACCACGTTCCAAGTTCAGCATAAGTTCAAGGTCATCTCACAGTGACTGGGGAAGTGGGGGTTTCAAAGATCCTGCTCTGAGCAGCACAGAATAACCCTCTTAAAGCAGCCATGGCTTAAAATATGCCATTTTCAATTACTGTTTCGTCTTGGGCATTGAGGGTTCTTTTGGGGCAATCATTGGCATTTGGCCTTATTTCTCACAAGAGCAGCGAAACCTCTTAAAAGATTGACAAGGACGCTATTGTGTCGAATGTAGGGTATAATAGGTGCTAATTTGTAGCTCCTTTTCCTCCCGCATTGAATTAGACCTATTGTGTTTCTGATCTCTTTAGCTGTGGAGTATGATTTGTCACTGAGGTTCCTGAAAGGTAGGAAGTTTCTTGTGTCTTCAGAAACTTTTTTCCTTGCTCATCCACAGGAGAAAACTGTAGGATTCTGACGCGTGCAAGTATCGCCACCCCCCCCCAAGACCTACTTTTTAACAAGTTGGCCTTTTTTAAACGCCATAATCACAGTTTGATGGCAATCCATGCAGTGGTGTTCTGTATATAATTTAAATGTCATTTTTTTGGGGGGGGTTGGGGGCTTTTTGTATGTGAAGGGGTTGAGACAGTTTATGAATTTTGTTTTTGGTTTTTTTTGTTTTTGTTTTTGTTTTTCTTTCTTTCTTAGGTTTTTCTGTGTAACGGCCCTGGCTGTCCTGGAACTCACTGTGTAGACCAGGCTGGCCTCGAACTTAGAGATCCGCTTAGTTGTGACTCCCTAGTGCTAGTATTAAACACGTGTGCCATTGTGCCTGGCTAAATTACATTTCTAATGATTAAATTTCTCTGAAACCTTTCAAGAAAAATACATATCTTCTTTTTCGCTGTGTCCCTTGGTAAAAGCATTGAGCCAATGAAGAGCGTCTTCATTAAGTTCGTCTTCCGTTCCGTTCGGTGTCACGTGGGAAAGCCTGGCCTACTGCTGAACTCTGGCTTCTGTGGGAGGTGCTTGACTCCACGATGCTGACATTCACCCGAGAAGATGAAGAGCTCCCAGTGTCTGCAGACCGCAGTGAATGGAGCTTTAGTTCTGTGCTGTGACGTTTCCCTAAATAAACTTCTCTATGTAACAGAGACAGCCATGATCTTTCCTACCCTCTGCAGGGGTCGCTCCCCTGAGGATGGAGGGAGAAGGTGGGACTCACATGCCATCCAGGCCCGGCTCTGTCTGGTGGCGATCAGGAGTCTCCACGATGCTTGCTAAAAACCCAGCTGGCAATAAGTGAAGGCAGCCCTTGGTGAAAGGCCCACAGGCTGGCGTTTATAAAGTGTGAGTCGTGCTGGCTGATTGACAGCTGTGTGCAGATGGCCGTGAGCTGGCCTGCTCACCTCTGCTGAGGAGAACACCTCTACAACAGAAGCTAACACACCTCACAGGTTTAACAAACCATGGGCATGTACAACCTTAGCGGAGTTCATAGCATGTATTTATGCTTCCGGGCGCCCAGCTCAGAGCACCAAGTGCTCCTCTTGCAGCTGTCTGTGCCAGGGGTTTGGCCAGAGCCTCCGTAGGTGCCCACTCAGGGTCCCACAGAGAGCAGTCAGGATGTGAGGGTGGCAGGAGGTGTTCACTGCAGGCTGAGCTGGAGAAAGTACCGGCGGTAGCCTGGCCAGCTCTACCGCTGCTCATCTCTACAGGCCTTCGGCCTGGGCCCTCCTACCTGAAGAAGCCGCAGGCACCGTTCCTTAATGGCCTTCCAGCCTTGGACACTTGGCTGTTGTCTCCTTGCTATTAAGCTCTGAAATGCTTGCAGGAAGTTCCCCCACATTTCCGTTTACCGCCCTATGATGACCCCGGTCCCTCTCACTATCGCGAGAAGCCTACGAGGCAGGTTGGTCCCTGAACTCGCAGCTCCTCGTTCATTACCCAGATACAAGGGTTGCTCACCCAACTCTGAATTCTAAGATTGCTGGGTGTGGAGGGGAGCGCGGATCAGAAGTGAACTGCTCTGCTACACACCTGTTTTCCCTAACTTAGGGCAGCCAAGGATGTACCCCTGGGTCCCCCACACTAGTGACTGAGGACCCGACTCCCCTCGGTGACATTGTTTCCCGTCCACTCTAGTGCTCACTGCCCTGCGCGGCCATGGCCATCTCATTTTCCAAGAGTTCTAACAT